TGGGCAGAAAGACAGAAGCGGAAATCCATCCCTAGTTCGTCACGTCAAAATGAAGTGAAGAAAGTGGAACTGGTTCATGGTGTGCCAGAATTGAAGCATGACGATAGCAGTAAACGACAGAAGCACGACATCGAAGAGTGGAGGTACATCGCAGAACCATACGACATGCAGAATGTCGTGGCTTTTGATGTCACCCGTCTAACTGCTTCCACAAACTACCAAGGTAGCGGGCCACGAATTTTGAAAGTTACTTTGGCTGCGCTCGAAATGGTATCAGTGGCAACCCAAGCATGGCATGACAACAGGAAACTTGGGCCACCAGAAGTAGGGTTACGACCATTCCTTCAATTAGTACAGACCTCAGATGCAGATGAGCCAGCCTCAATTGTACCTATCTCAAACCAGCCAACGGTGCAAACAACCGTTGCAAAAAGCTTCAGCAGACCGGCAGTATTTGTGCCGAACCGAGCTCCTAATACATCAACAAATACAATGCTGCTACAGCAACACTCAGGGGTTGTACTCTAAGCTCTCGGAGCTGCGCCATCGACATGAAACAACAACTTGGAACCTCATAGCAGTTACTGAAACTTGACTCTCAAACGACCTACGTGATCCAGAGATTGAACTCAGTGAGATGTCAGTCATTCGAAATGATCGTCCATCTCGCAGTGGCGGTGTTGCCCTCTACTATCGATATTATTTGAAATGTGAGGCTCTTACCGAAAATTACCTTGGTATTCCCGACGCACTATTTGCCGACTTCACCTAGCAGGTCGAGATGTTGGTTCACAGAAGAAGAGTTATGCTTGCTTCTTAGCAGTTATCTATAGACCTCCGAACTCATCAGCAGACAGAGATAACCGTCTATCAAACACCCTCCGCTATGCTGTTTCACAAAAATACTCTCACTATATTATAATGGGTGGTTTTAATGTTCCTTCAATAGCATCATTGTCCTCTAATGGGCCATCATTTAAATCGAAACTCCTAGAATTCGTGAATATGACACTTTTGTATAACCAAGTGCATCGATCAACCAGACATCGCGGTTCAAACAAGCCATCACTCCTGAACTTAATCCTGACTAATGAAGAGTTGATGGTTGAGTCAGTAGCATACGATCCTCCACTGGGCCGTAGCGACCATTCAGTCCTAACATTTGGTTATGTACGTTATGGCATTATCCTTGCTAAAGAAAGAGAGACTCAACGCACTATTACGGACTATTATAAGCTGCGCAGTTAGCAGCAAGCGTTGGGTGGGACCTACAGACGCACAGCTTAGCGAACGACGCGTGGAATGAATTGAAAGACAAAATTAACTGGGTCATACAATCAGCATCGAAGGTTGTGCCATTACGAGCATCGCGCCGGACCAATAGGTGGATCTGGAGCAGAACACATAAATGGATCAACAGAAGGGATGAAATCTGGAGGCAACATTTGCTAAGCCCATGTGATATCACTTGGCAGCATGACAACGTCTTCAGAAACTATTGCACGTCACACATTAGAGTCGATAAGTACGAATGGCAGGAGGACATGGTGCTGAAAGTTACGAGCAACACCAAACTACTATACAGATTTGTGAATAGCGAAAGATAGGTTAAGCCCGCAATATCACCACTCAAAACGGCCAGTGGCCTTACAACCACTGCTGTGGATGCCGCGAAAGCTCTACTCTTACAGTTTGGCTCGGCAGCCACAAATACCATGGAACCTTCGCCCTATCAACTCCCAACAAATGTCCTTGGCTTATCCAGAGTCACCTTTACTCTTGCACTTGTTGCAAGCAAATTACAGTCTCTCCGGGAGTACGGTACCCCTGGAATCGATATGATCTGCCCAAAAGTACTTAATACCCTTGCTCCCACCATGGCAGCCCCAGTTGCAACCTTTTTCTAGGGTCGGCTTAACTCCCATACACTCCCATCTGAGTGGAAAAATGGAATTATCACTCCAGTGTACAAAGGAGATAAGCGATCTGATCCTATTAACTACCGACCTATTATTCTCCTTCCTGTTTTCTCAAAATCGATGGAACCCGTAATCGCAGGGGGACTGACGCGATACTTTGAAACTCAACGAATAATTTCTAATGCCCAACATGGTTTCAGAAGCAGACGATCTTGCCTCACCAATTTGCTGATTACTCAGGACTAATGGACCAGGGCGGCTGATGAAGGAGTGCCCATAGATGTGATATACTTGGATTTTTCTAAAGCATTCGACAGGGTCATTCACTTCTTTCTCCTCCAAAAGCTTGATGCCTATGGTATCAACGGTTCCCTGCTCAACTGGTTAGAAGACTACTGACACGACAGAGCAATCAAGGTAGGAGCAGCCGACACTTATTCTGAAAGTCTTTGCGTTTCCTGTGGTGTACCACAAGGATCCGTCCACGGCCCGCTACTGTTTTTAGTCAACATTAATGACCTTCCAGCAGACATTCTATGTCTGACGCAAATATTTGCAGACGATGCTATAATATGGAGAGCAATCCGCCCAGCATCCGACTGTGTCTACCTCCAAGAAGATCTGACCCGGATTAACGAATAGGCAGTGTAGCGGGCAGGTCAAATATTCCCGCAAAAACGCACCAGAAACCCCGGCAGAATGGCTGTGGAAAGCGAGGTTCACTTCCTCCCCACAACGCAGCAGAGCTAAGCCACTCCGAGACGCGGCCCAACTGCGCATATTTCGACAATGCTCATTTGCAAACTACCACCTCTTCATGGTGACTGTTTTCCCTAACTTAATAACTCATGGCATTGGCTGTGCTTCGCCCTTTGTTGGTCGTAAAAGAGCCTACAGAGGACCACCTGTCTTTTCTTTCTCTTCGCCCCAGTCGGGAGTCGGTCGGGGCAAGTGATTGCGTGTGAGTCGTTAGCTGGCTAGCCTTCGCGTCTAAGCCATTAGCGCGCGTCTATCGTAACCCCTCTCGTGTGCGTCCGTTTCGAGGGCTCAGCGTCTATCCGAACACGTGCGGCTAGGATCATTGACACGCTCTCTCAATTGTCCGTCTCACGGCTAAGCTAGCGTCATTGGGTCAGCGCAACTCCGTTCGAGTGGCCAGCGTTACAAGTCGTCATCATCGGCGTGCTCCAACCATGCCAGCGACAATCTTATCAGGCAATTGCGCAATCATATCAAGAGGCGTCCCCTCTATCATAACAGTCGTTCCAACAATTATAACAGGCAGAAAGGGACCAGCTCCCACTGAACCGTGCAAAGTGCCACCTGCTGACGGTGCGCAGCAGCTTCGTCAGCACATACCTTTTAGGGCAACACGTCATGCAACACGTGACTAGTGAACGCGACTTAGGTATAATGGTGCATGAGAGTCTCAGAAGTTCGCTCCAATGTTCGAAAGCAGCAAGTGTGGCGAATTTGAACTTGTGACTTTTGAGGCGAGCTCTCGGCACTTTTGAGCGACGGCTAGTATCCTTGATGAGTAACTCCTACATTCGTCCTCACGTTGGATATGCAATTCAGGCCTGGTGTCCATGGTTAAAACGAGACATCCGCCTATTGGAACAGCCACAAAGGCAACGTGTGGACTATTCGGTCTAAGTTACGGACTGCGTCTTCGTGTACTCGGTGTGTTCTCACTAGAATACCGACGGCTTCGCGGAGATCTTACCTCACGTACCAGATACTAACCGAAAACGAGCATTCATGTATATCACTGTTGACTCTAGCCCCTTACAAACAAAGCTGAGGCAACCACCTGAAACTAATGATGCAACACCCCCGTTTGAATTATAGAAAGTATTTTTACTCACTTAGAATCTGTTCTCACTGGAATGCAGTACCAAAAATATGTGGTGAACTCACCAGACATGACGACATTCGAAAGACTCTTAAACTTCCAGCTTAGTGATAAACGATACACAACAGTTTGCTAAAGTGCAATGGTTTAACCACTGATACTGCACGTTCCACACTGGAACATTTTGATTTTAATTTTATTTCGCATATCCATCCTGTGGGTCTTGTAAAGTTATGCTTTTTATCCCATCATACACCAGTGAAGGTTTATAGCGCTACTGCGAACAGCAGCCTATAAAATGTCTGATGTCAGGTAACACTTTAAGAGCGATTTCACTACACTGACGGGAATTGTACGTATAACATCTGCTACCACAGTAACGGCAGCAGTTACTTCAGTGAAAACGTTTTATTATCCGGTATTTTAAATGAAGGAAGCCAGCCGAGCAGGTGTGTTTATACGTCGTGCATCAATTCGTGTGCGACTGTTGAGTCAATTTCGTAGATACAATCCTTGGGACTGATTATCAGAATTAAGAAGCATGTGACAAAAGGGTTTCCATGCGCAGTTATCCACTGTCCCACTTCTCTTCCCGAATACCGTGCCCACAAGGATCGCCTGGCTTCATTGGTAGACTAATATCAGCTGGTCCGTGACCACTGGTAGGACTCGGCTCAGTGTTCAGTATCGTGTCGTGTCACCATGAATCCCCGAAATAAGCCGGATGAAATCAGACATTTGAAAACAAAAACAATTATCTGTCGGTCGTAGGTTGCCCTGTATGCTGGTACTCAAAATTTCTTATTCGACTTGTGTCTAATGCTTATTGGATTATTTCCGCTACGAGCAATTAGTACCTCGTGTTATTGTTAAAGGCGTTTAGATGATCATACCGGACGCATGCATATGCCTATTTTCATTCTCTCTCCGCTCTTTTCAAGATGTTGATGGGCAGTAATTCACTAAAACACTCCATTTTGTTAGCATACGCAACGTTGATATTTCCGAGAATGGACACATCACATGCACGAATGCAATATTTTAAAGATCGCAAAAGATTTTGCACGGTTGTTCAATCAAGAGTGATGGTCCCACAAGATAAGACGCGACGTTACCGTAGTTAACATAGCACGTTTAATACATCACTTATGAGTAGCAAAATATCAACATTATTTAGCAAGGGGTAACTGATAAGCGTTTTGCCTCGTCCAGATGCGTCAACTTACCTCATCACTGCGTGAAGATTTTCTGTGGTGCACAATCAGCGATCCTCGCTTCAGAGAACGTCGGGGAAACACAGTCACCTGTTCCGCCATCCCATCTGGGGTTTCGATCAGCTCAAGCTACAAATTGCAAAGTAAACCAGCTTTGAGTACACAGCCGTCAATGATATTTTAAAATTATCCCACGTGTAGAACATTAATTTCAAATGGTTAACTTACCAAACTATGGGACCCGTTAAGTATGTGCCAATTCAGCAGCCATTAACCACCGTTCGAATGAGACTGATAACACTGACTTTCATAAGATTTAATTTAGCCTGTTTTCAAAACTACGGATGACAGTTAACAACGGCGATGCAGAGGGTGCTTTTGCCATGCACTGCACACTGGCGCATAACGCAGCCGAATAAGGCAACAAGACCGGTCTTTACACACCGTTGTAGAGGTATATTAAGGTCTTTCAGCCCTATTGTGGCGCCAACTCGAGTCCGGGTTCGTCGATAGTTGGATTGCTACCTCGATGTTTCAAGTAGGTTCAGATGACCCAAATGAGATCGAGGTTATAAACCGTGGAGGGGGTGGGCTCAACGTTTTAACCGATGCAAATGAGAAGTAGTTAACCGCTGTCTCATTCACGAGAGCATGTCTCGGACCAGTGCGTCGAATGGGTTAGAACAACCTAGTAGTATTCTGAGGGATGCCGAGGCATACATCACTTATGGATCATGGTGACCAGGTAAATTTAGCCTCAGGAAAGCCTGTTATTCGGTGGCCAAAATGCAATTTGTTACAACCAACATTTTTGGAAATCTGTGTTGCTGACCCTAAAGTTATTATCATCATATACAGGAAACCGATCATCATTGTCAGTGCGACAAACATCATTTCAGTGATGGCTCCCTAGTCGATGTTTTGATTCTGACAGGCTAATGCATCGCACACTGGCCCCACTCACAAAGATATCGTTATTCATACGTTGGACATTCGGATATATAAATAAAATAAATAAATAAACTTTTATTCTCGACCATGCGAGACACACCTTTACAGGCATGATCATGCTTAGCTAACAGTGTGATCAAAAATGTACAAAAGTACATGTTTGGCATAACAAGGTATGGGTGTATATACGTATGTAAATGTGTATGAATGTAGCTTGTGTCTTTAAATATCCGCCGCATTTTGACTGTTTGGTATCATCAGGAATGTGAGCATAAGCGCTTGATGTCCTTAGGTTGGATAGCACTTTCCAGATATCCACGGGCCAGTGACTTTATTTTGTGGCGAGTCACATCCGCCACGTCGCAGTGTTGATAAGCAGACATTTGTGGCTTTTTATAGCGAGAACGCTTGCCAGGCGAAAACCCACCACGTCCTGGAACACTGCCGCCGAACTATTTGCTGGAACTGGTTAAACCCGAACCACCCAGCTGGCACCACGAGGAGGTTGTTCGGCTAGCCAGGTGAGATTCATAATAGATTCCGACTTTGACGACTTTAAGCATACGGTTGGAGAGAGGATAAACTGAGGTAGTATAATCTACCTTGCATTCGGCTGCCGCTGACTGATTTCGGTAGGGTTTTAAAGCCAAGTGACCCCATACCGCCGTTCGCCAGGATCCATCCCAGTAGAGTTGATCCAACGCTTCGCTCAGAACGATTTCGGCACCGAAAACGCGGCTATCGATTAATTAAGCGCCGCCGTGTTCGCACGGATACTTGATGTCGTCAGGCTGGCAACATACGTTGCGAAATGGTTTGAATCTCCTTCCCTAACTGCCTATAAGCAATACCATAGCGTATGCTGCACGATCTCTCCATTTCATGCTATCCACAAATAGATGCCCCGTCGGTTTTGTCGCCCACTATCGCTAGCACTCACCGGTTTGTTTGTCCCACCGTTTGCCATATCCATTTGCGAGGTCCGATTACGTGCACCGTTTGCTAGTGAGCCAACGGCTTCTACGTACTCATCCTCCAAATAATCTTCTGATTGAAGAAGGATGGGTGCAGGAGTTCTTCTCCGTAGCATCCTTGTCTTGTACTGATAGATGGAGAGATGCATAGACATTTAACCGTTGAGTATTTTTTGTAATGGTTTATGCTCTTAAAATTAATTTTCCCCGTGAGTAGGTTGTGTGATTGTGCTGTTCAAGTGCAACCGTAACTCATCGTCGTATGGTGTTACCTTGTTTTATTCACACGACGAACAGAATGACTGCAATTAATATTTTTTATGATTTTGCTGCTGAACGCCTAACTCACCGGGTCTCGTGTATTGCTGTGCAACCCATTTGGTCCTGCCGCCTCAAACGCTGAAGCGGGGTTTGTTATATAACTGGATGCATAGCCCTAGTAAGAGTAAAACAAAAAGTCGTATTAATACAAGAAAATCAGCAGGTGTGGTTTGATCACTCAGAACAAGGTTTTCATAGTCATAGCTTATAAGCTGCTCACTGATCAGAACCGTGCACTAGGGGTGTTCGAAGAAGAATCAGGTGTCGTTACTGCGGTAAGCCTTCTTAGCCCTAAATGCACCGAACTGTCCCAAAGGTACACGAAAGAAGGAAACGGCGTGGTGGATTTTATTTGGTTCTTCACGCGGTGTAGGATAACCCAACTCCTTAGGAGCGCAGCGGTGCGGGTGTAGAAATGCCACAAACTGAAAGTGCTTGAAGTGCAAGTGCTGGCTAGTAAAACTGCCTTAGCTCAGTTGCTACTGCACGGCACGATGCGAAGTGGGTACATGCATCAGACTGATTAGGATGCGCAACCGACCAGCCGGCTACGTATGCAACGTCAACCATCTTAATATGTAAGGTAACAACAATGTGCCGTGTAGCAGCAAGCAAGTAGACGCGAATCCAAAATAGCTCCAGTCGAGAGGTAAATGCGAGTCCGCAGAATGCAACCGAATAGTCAAGTGTGGCTTACTTTGCTCCCACCGTTTCGAATTGTACCAGCCAACATGTGCAAGTCTTTACCAACAACATTTGAGCGATCGAACCAGCTCCCAAGACAATCTCTGATTTTGTACTGCGTGTTCGACAATCTCACTAGTCCAGGGGATCCCAACCTGGAGGTAATTACCCCAAAAACACCCAATAACATTTTACTGGGGTGTAAATATTAGTACGAGGAATGGGTCATCAAACAGTCTCAAAACAAACTTAAAAACAAAAGCATCTGTGGCAAAACATGTCGCCAACTATCTATATTAGATTAGCCATCCGTGACCCGCCATTAATCATAGCAACTAGCTGACGCATCTAGCAGATCTCGTGGCTTCCGCTGCTTTTCTGTGTCGGGCAGTTGTCCGCCGGGTCAAATTTTGGAATCGACTGCATACTATAAGTTATACGACTTTAGTCAATCCACAACGGACTCAAGCTCCTCCTTAAGAATATTCAACTCAATCCACAAGCACATCAACTTTAATCTAAAGTGGCGCACACGCACAACTGCATGCCCATGGTCTTGGCCAATTGCAAATCAGTGCAAGAGTACTCGGAACATCTGCCTTGGTTGGTGATACGTATTACTCGAGTATTGCTGGTTTGCACCTGGACCCTTAGTCCGCGAAAGAAGTGAATAAGAACACACCGGATGGGACGTGCCAAAAACTGTAATGATGACCTGTAAGTTACACCAGATGAGTAAGTTGAAAAGGAACCAATCAGCACAAGGAAAAGCAGTGGACGAATCAGCTATTGGTCAACCGATCTGCATGTGTCTGTATGTTGCTCCTCGTTTTAGCAGAAGGCACACATGTAACATCCCCTCACGTGACAGTTGGAATCACAGTTGTGAAATGTAACGTTCTATCGGTTTAGGTGAGCGGTGCGGTTTCCGAATAGCAATCGGCTGATCGATTTCTTCCGTTTGGTTTTCGTTTGTCTCCTCCAGATCTTCTGGAACCGTTTTCTCTTCCCCAGGGTACGGTGTGACTGGGATGCGGGGTCGGATGAAATCATTGTGCCTGCGTACTGTCTCTCCACTCTCTAGTTGTATTTTGGCCTCCGTTTCTGAGCTCGTAAGCACGGTGCCAGGCTGCCATAACTGCTCATGCGGTAGTTTCGTGTAAACATCACGTTCCACTATCGACTTCTGGGGCTTAACTGGTGCGCGTCCACTTTCATACATACGTTGTTGCTGGTAACGCCTGGTCTGACGAGGGTCTGGAAAAAGTAGGTCTAGCCTCGTACGTAGTCGACGCCCAAACATTGCCTCCCCAGGGCTCTTTCCGATAGACTCTAGCGGTGTGATCCGATATGCGAACAAGAATCGGTCAAGTTTGGTTCGTAACGAGCCATTACGCTGCTTTAAAAGACCAGCTTTCACGGTTTGGACCGCTCTTTCAGCTAAACCGTTTGACGCTGGATGGTACGGTGCGGAAGTCATGTGATGAACGCCGTTGCTCTGCAGGTATTCTTTGAACGCTTCACTCGTAAATTGCGGACCGTTGTCAGTGACTAATGTTTTCGGTATGCCATGTGTAGATAGACTAGAACGTACGCCATTGATTGTAGCTTCTGCAGTAGCGTTTGCAACAACATGCACATCAATCCATTTGGAGTACGCATCTACTAAAAGTAGCAACATTTTTCCTTCAATCGGCCCAAAGTAATCGGCATGGACACGTTCCCATGGGCTGTCGGGCAACTGCCAAGGGTGAATTGGGCCGGTTGGATTATCTCTTTGATATTTTTGGCATGTGTTACAAGTACTCAAAAGTGCTTCGATGTCTCGGTCAATCGCTGGCCACCAGCAGTAGGATCTGGCGAGGGCTTTCATGCGGACAATACCTGGATGTGCATCATGTAATTCTTTCAGTACAGCTGACCTGAGAGTCAATGGAATAACGATGCGAGATCCACGTAGGATACATCCTTCATGCAGGCTCAGCTCAAATCTACAATTGAAAAACGGACGCAGATCACCAGGGGCTCGCGAACCCCAGCCACGCAGCAGCATACGTTTCACAGTCGAAAGAACGGGATCTCTGTCTGTAGCTTTCTTAACCATGTCGCCAGATATGGGTGTAGTATTCAGGTGTTGCAAAAGTTGAACAAACTCATAGGGCGCGTCAGTTCTTTCCCCCTGTTGGTCAATCTGTGGCA